TTTTTGCTCTTCAGGATGAACCTGATGTTGCAAGAGTGTGGCTGCCAAATAATGACTCCCCTGGCCTTGCAATGTCTCGTGCATTTGGAGATTTCTGTCTCAAGGACTTCGGTCTTATCTCTGTGCCTGAAATTTGCTATAAACGTATTACTGATAAGGACGAGTTTATAGTCTTGGCAACAGATGGGGTATGGAACTCAAGTTTTATATTGATGGACTACTTTATTTAATTTCTTGACATTTATTCCAGGTTTGGTGTAATTTGTATCTTCATTTCAGATTTGGGACGTGCTATCAAACAAAGAAGTGGTAGACATTGTGGGTTCTTGCCCCACGCGTTCATATGCAGCCCGCACTCTAGTAGAGTTGGCTGTTCGGGGTTGGAAGCTCAAGTATCCAACTTCTAAGGTTGACGACTGTGCTGTAGTTTGCCTCTTTCTTGATTCAAACTCAAACGACTCAACTATTTCGACTGCAAAATCCAAGAAAAATGTTTCTCCAGAGGATTACTTTAACAAGAAAGATGATTCTCTCTATCCAACTGAATTTAACCGTTCTGGTACTGTTAGAACTAGTGAACAAGTTCTTGGAGAAGAAAATGAAGAGGCTTTGGAAGCAAATAAGGAGGAAGTCTCCGACCTTGAAGAAACGAACGTGGAGGCTGGAAAAGAGTGGTCCGCTCTCGAAGGAGTCGCTCGTGTGAATACATTATTGACCTTGCCCAGATATGTCCCGCCCAAAGAATAGAAAAATGCTGCTGGAGATACTAATGGTAGGAAATGAAAGCCAAAATCCTTGTCTGGATTTATTTTCCCATTTATTTTGTAGTTCCTGTTTTCCTACGTATGTTTTTTCTTACTTCTGTCTCAAAAAATTAGGGCCTTGGATATTTATTTTCGGTTGTGTTACATGTACATAACAATTTACATAATAATTTACCAACAGATGATGTGGCAAGATTTAATTAAATCAAAATCTCGTCAATCAAATAACTTGTTTGCTTACATTTTGACACATCATTATTATGTAAAACATTATGTAAATAGTTATGTACCAGAAGCATTTTCCATTTATTTTGGATTGGAGAGATGGTCCTGCTCGGCTATATTTGTCTGGGAATAATTCTTTTCCTCTCGTGTAGGTAGAATTGGAATTTTTGCAGAATCCAACTCTCCTGTCTTTCTTTGTTTTACCTAATGGTTTCATTTTGTTACTACAACAATTCCGTCAATTTTAACCAAAACAACAAACCATTCAAATCGAAAAGATCAGATGCTGTGTAGAAGTTGCAAATTCTTCTAAATGACATGCTTGGTAGCTAATCTAATATTTCATCTCTAAACTTTCAGTAGAATCAAATTGAATGACATAGAATGCTATATATTTTTATTTTTTATACATATATTGTACACTTTCTCAGTGCAAAAAGTGTAGCATTTCTTCTGATATTTGTATGGATACCATTTGTTATCCCCCCGTTTCGAGGATTGCAGAAAGATGGTCACGTGGCAAGCCACGTGTAGGGAGGACAGAAAGGAGCAAAGAGGACGACCAAATAGGTCAGAAACCCCACGAGG